ACAGAAATCCACCTGTACATGATTTAACGATACGGGAAGGATCAGCATTTGGTGACTTGCTGCTGTACTCTCCGGACCATCTTCAAGTCTGTGGCACGATATTTCGACTCACAGCCTAGCTGGTCCTTTGAATCCGAGATAGAGTCCTTGGCAGCTTGGCAGAAGCTGACAAATATTTGTGGTAAATGTATTGTTGTTGATATGTGTTAATCAGGAAAAACTTTTATTGAAACAACAGCATAACTTTGGCACGAGCTTGTGGGATAACCTCATCGATCGTAGATCAGTCAACTAGGAAATGAATGACTAACTAGTTTTGAAAAGTAAAGAAAGGAACGCTGGTAGATCGATAAATTCTTCATTTTATAAGTGACAGTATGCGTTGCAACGTAAATGCGAACAAAGCCCTTAACAAAAAAGTCATATTGACAAATTCTTCTGCAAAACCTAGGAAATCCGTCGTCATACAGTCTTGTTCGCAGCGGATGCTCGGGTTGCCAGGAAGGCTGGGTTTGGCGTGGCGTCAGCCACTTAGTTCTCCAGCAATTGTTTAAGCGGTCAAACGTTAGTGATTGGTGGAAAACGGGCTGGCGCTGCGTCAAACCCCGCCCCTCTAACACACCCCAGAATCCGTCGCGAACAAGACCTTAAATGCATCACGGGCACAATACGCGAACAATAAGCGAGCCGCCACGCTGCGACACACAGTCAAACTGACTGCAGTGCGTCAGTGCGCTCAAAATACTTATCCGTCGGTCACAACACGTCTGCAACAGCCGCGGGATCAGCCAAACGTTAGGCAGCGTTCAGACTTCGCGACGGCAGCGCTTCGGTCGCGCGTTCGACGCGATCGATGCGCATGCTTTTGACTGCATCGATCGCGTCAAACGCGCGACCGAAGCGCTGCCGTCGAGAAGTCTGAACGCTGCCCCAAGCTGACGAGGTGGCCGTAAGCCAGGAATCTCCTCATACCTCGTAGCATTTCACAAAAAGAGATTCTTCATCACAATGACTGCTTTTCTTCAGCACCTATGTTCTACTATCATTCTTGAGAAAGTTCATCTTTTACTAGTTCCTCCAGAATAGCTCTTTTAGCAAGTGCTCGCTCAATTGCATGACGTTTGGCAGCCTGAAATCGTGCGGAATGAATATCATTACTATCGGTACAATTAGACCGCTGCGGAATGAATATCATTACTATCGGTACAATTAGACATAGAATAACGAGCAGACCTTTACAGGATGCCTTTCATTAATATTGTACTCCAGGTTCATTTCATTTTACGTTGTGCATGATTTTCGCCTTGAATTCACCACAACTAACCACTTAGCAATCCAAATTCACCACTTCAGATCGTTGACACTATTTACACCGAACATCAAAGGCCAAGGGGTACGATAAATCGAGAAGGCCTAAAGGGCCGATACGCCTAGCACGAAAAAATATTGTGGCCCTTGGCAGGCGATGCGTGGCGCTTTTTCCAAGAAAAGGCACCTCGTAGCGCCTAACCAAGGTGCAACATGTCAACCCGCCGATTGCAACCCCGCCCGTAAATGGCCGCACACTCACAGCGACACTGGTACTCGCATGACTTCATTTATGAAGTAGCAGATATGATTACTACATGGATATATGAAGACATACGGCTATCCATCAGGTTGTTGGCAGGATGTCGATACGATAGCACGTATGTCTTCATATATCGAAGGAATGAGGAAACTCCTCCAAGAAATGCCCGTCCTATGCCGTGCAAAACAGTTTTTTCGCTGGTTCTCAACTGTTTACCTTCCCTTTCCGTCAGTTCCCCCTCTCTGATCCTATTTTGAGCAATTACCAAATTATCGTGCCTTATGCCTTCAACTAACCGGATCACACTAGGCACTACCACAAGCCCCCCCCCCTCCCCCCCGACAGCAACGCCCCACTAGAAATGACCCAAAAGCAGCCTCCTTAGGGTCTCACTGGCAGATAGAACCTCGCTCGTCGCTCACAACACAACAAAAAAAAACCAGGCAAAGTTTGTTCGGAGTGACGAGCGAGATTGTGACCTGCCGCTGGGACTCCAGCCTGGTGATTTAGATCCTTTCGTAGAAGTGAGCGTGGCTGTGTGAGGCCTGCGGTGTCTAGCGTGGTCTGGTTAGTCAACTGTCCGCTCTAAATAGTGTGATGAATTTGAATTGGGAAGTGGTGAATTCAAGATGAAAATGGCATACATAGCCGGGTTACTATCTTACTAGGGAAGGTCGTCAGGTCGAAGTGGCCATTTGTAATGAGATGTAGCTCACTAGACGTGGTTTTGGACGCTGATCTCGAATCTGCCTTCGAAATTTGCAGAACGATTCTCTGAACGGAGTTATGGAGCTTTTTCCACCGCGTTTACCACGCAACAGGTCGTGGGATCGGATCCCTGCTGAGCTTAACTTTTTTGCTTCTTGTGCAAACGTGGCAAAAAGTGGTTGTAGCGTCACTACTACATTAGCGCTCTCCTTGACTTGCCTGAAAAACAGTTTGTGTTCGCTTACTGGCGCGCTTAGTGCCTTATGATCTAGGAGATGTACAGGTGCCCTTGGCGCGGAGTGCAGGCGTTTTCGCGCTGAGCGAGTGCCATGTTCGAGTTTATCGGGGCGAACTCCGCCTAGGTAGAGGTTTCTAGCCAAATCTGGCATTTTGACCTGAATTCGAAAAGTGAAGCATCCATGGGTTAGTTCATTGATGTTCACACCTATTCAGCTGCAGATACATTCTCCTGCACAAAGCCTCGTCTCCTCTCTTCTTACGCATTCATTTTATTACTGCTCCAGTTTTCCTGGTATCTAAAAGCAAATTCTGTCCAAAGACAAGCAATCGACAAGAGACTGGCCCTGGAACTATTGGTGACCATCATTCGATCAACTGCTACCGCACTTTTCAAAGTTAGGTCAAAACCTCACATCTGGCTAGAAACCTGTCCCCAAGGGTAGTTTTGCTCCCTGAACACGAATATGGCACCCATTTGGCGTTTGAGTGTTTTCTAGACTTAAAAGAGACATTCCCCACAAAATGCAAAACAAGTTCCCTTCCAGAAATCCGAACCCTTCATAGCATGCCGCGAAGCAAGACCATTACCACTACACCATTACGCCGTTGATGGTAGTGGTGGTTCCCGGCTATTCATGCGAACTGCCCGGCAACCGCGCTCGACTCTGTTTCCTTCATTTTAATTCTAAAAAACCTTCATAATTCCGTTCAGAGAATCGTTCTGCAAATTTCGAAGGCAGATTCGAGATCAGCGTCCAAAACCACGTCTAGTGAGCTACATCTCATTACAAATGGCCACTTCGACCTGACGACCTTCCCTAGTTAGACGTTACAGGACGGATGATTATCGGACTTATCCCACCTTTCCATATCCTTGACAAAATTTTGTAGCTATCAGTGAAAACGCAGTTACACAGTTTTACAGTATGGCGGGCTGACTAGCAAGGAAATAGTAAGCAGTTGTTAGGAGATGCCACAGAGTGGGCCACATAACCAGCAGCTGGGTGAACATGCAGTTATTTATGTGTGGCCAAATAGTAGTACTTTATTTCCGAACAAGACCGGTTTTATTTCCGAACAAGACCCTTTCCGCAACAAGACCGGAGAAAGGAAAAGATCTCTCTTCGGATCGAGCTAACATGCCTATGAGCCGCATGGCCTGCTTAGCAAAGCAGGGAACTCCAGTTCGCAATGGACAAGATAGAAATGGGAGAAGGTGGTGTAGTGGCAAATGGCTCGCTTAGCACGCGGGCGGCCTGGGGATCGGCTCCCGTCTAGAGCAATCAAGCCTTCTTTCCTCCTTCAACGGTAAAATGGTATGAGATCGGTCTGCGGCACTTCGGCGATGACGGACAGTCGGCCGCGATTACAGTTGCAAGAGCGCTCCTGATCCTCATGCGACACGAACCCACGGCAGGACGGGAATCGATCGGTGGCGGCCGCTTGCGTTTTAAGAGAGTATGGGAAATAGGAGGACACGATATGCCCACTCGCACAGTCTGGTATCGATCGGCAGTGGCTGCCAGCGCAGTTTGGGGAGTAATGCGTGAAAGCCGCGCATATCCTATTATTATCCAGCATTCTCTCAAAACACAAGAAGCCAGCGCCGATCGATTGCCGTCGCGCCTACAGGATTGGAGCGCTGCTGCAATTGTAGCGAGCTGTCGACGCGCAAAGTCTGAACGCTGCTTGAGGAAATTTGACGGGCCCGCGACTGGTTCCATGGGTCGACCAACGGCGCGAAAGCTTTATCCCAATTCTAATGGTAAGAGAGGAATCGTCTAACAGAGTCCCAAATTTTGAATTCCCGGAATTTGCCGATCGCGGCCAAGATCAAAGGTTCCACTTCATCAGAAAATTGCAAGGAAAGTACCAGTTTCGTGCCTGTTCACTATGCACAACAAAAATACACCTTTTTCCCCTGAGGAAGTCCGCCGAAAAACTTACCATTGAACCGGGTGCAATCACAAATGGATTATATCTTGCATAATACTCCGTCCAAACACGTAATACGCGCATTGAGGAATTCATGATGAGTACATTACGCTGGTCACCTGAATCAGAATCGATTTTCCAAAGCTAGCGCTATTTTTCTTGGCGCTCATGTTGAGAGGGGGATGAGGAAAGCTTGAGATTGTGTCGCGGCGACTGCGATCGTCTGTCTCCACAGCTGATTCCGAGGAAGAAAACGTCACGCAGCGTACTCGAAACAGCAAAAACGACCAATAGGGAAAACTAGGGCGGCTAAATACGATCATTTCCCTCCCTGGCGACCAAATACGATCGTCTAATGTGAGTTCACTAGCCCAGGGAAGGGAACAAAATTACAGTGGGAGGAAGCAGACAACTGCGCTGCCCCTCCCCCTCCCAACTACATCAGCGCTTCTCCCAAATCAAAATTTAAACTTACCTTTATTATACAACGGATTCAAATATAACCTCTTATTTTCAAGTAAATGGGTCCACAAAGACACAGTTTCTTTCGTGCACTTCTGAAAATATGATGTATTCATGATTTGGTATAATTTCTAATCCGATGAATACCACTTACATTGTCAACCAGACGTTGTTTCTCGCTATTATACAAAAATGTACCAAATCTACATGCATATAGCTCATCCAGTATCGCGATGAGGAAGAAGGAATTGAACTCGAAGTGACAGTCGTACTGAAAACAACCTCGAAACTTTCAATGCACCCATCGATGTCCATTTGAAGACACTTCTCGCAACAAGAGGATGTGCGGAGAGATGGGCGGGGACCCATAACTACCATGCTTCCCTTACTGGTGCGCCTCCTTTACTTATGACAAAGGCGAGGGCGCAGCAATGAAGGATTCATGACAGCCGTCTGCCTCCGCCCATTTCCCCGTACACATCCGCTTCCCACGAAACGTTTATTATTTAAATGAAAACACTGCCCACCATGGGGAACGCTAGCCGACCAGAAGCGCCCTCTATGAGATTCAGGCCTAGCCGTGGCAGACAACCAGGGTCGCCATTGCTCCCGCAGACCAGACAAATTCGCTGGCACGTGACTTCCCCCACACCCCTCCCCGGTAAATAGGCTAACGAATAATGACGAATTCCATCTCGTTGCCACCAAGTACAGGTTTTGCGGTAGTATAAGGCCACGTGGGTAGAACAAGCAGAATTTCAAGGTCAGTTCGGCGATGGGGGGGGTTGCACTTTGCTACTTCCCATTGACATATCCACCCACCTAGAGAGCCTTTCCTTGAATTGACAGGTTTTTCCACGGTGACCCGACAAGCTTGATAGCTTCACAACAGTTACAGGGTTCACCAGAGTGTAAGTTGCAAGCCAGAACTAATGAAGCAGCGAAAAAGCAAAAAGACCCCCCGTCGCCGAACTGCACCCAATTTCACTAAATAGGTGAATCAGAGTTCATAAGTGTGAATAAATCAATGGCGGTGAAGAATCACAACCACAACCAGTCGCGATCTGTACATTATGGGCAAGGTCAGAATGAAGAACGCACGATCGGCTAAATCATGAGGCTAACACGAACTCCTAGGTCTTATGACTTGAGCTCACCGTTCCTACCACGCGCATTTGAGTGAAAGGGTGATGACTGTGCGACGTACGCCTTGTATACACAGGAGGGATTACAGCTACTAGGTGATAGCAGAATGTGTTTTAAAGGCACACACCCAGCGTTTGCTTGATGTTCAGGCACCTCTACTGGCATCGCTGTTTGTCCCAACGTGAAAAAAGCGCTCTCGCTAGCGGCGAGGCCACAGCTCTGCCCACTGGCTGCGGCAACGCCCAATCGTCACTTTTCACTGCTACCTGATGATGGTGTTGATGCTACTAACTCTTTCCATTTTCAATGCTGAGAGTGAAGAGATAAGGAGAAAGGGCTGACACCAACAAGAAAGAGCTCGTTTGGCATGCCCTTTATGCGCGTAAGCGCGGTCCAGCACGGGGTTTTGGATGAAGCATTTGCTGCGGCTTTCGAGTCCGTTTTTTCTTCAATTTTGTGTTATTTACGTCCTTGTCGTTAGTAAGTGAGCCGAACAAATCACCATTTTCGAGCGCGGGGTGCATTCAAAGCTATGAAAGATAACCACGACCCACCTGCTGAAGAAGCTGCCACACACAGTCGATGAACTGTACAAAAACCGGAGATCGTTCACCATCATTTGGCTTGTCTTCGCCGTGACCTACAACTCAGCAGAATGGTCTACTTTCTTCAAAATTAAAACTCTCTTCAAGGCAAGACTTTTGAAAACTATCCTGAAAAACCTCCAGCTCTAGACAGAAACAGAGGTAAAAGCATGACTACCGAAAGACAATAAGTTTGACAATTCCTAACCTATCCGATGTCCAAATTTATGACCGAAGCTACACCATTCTTTTTCTATCAAGACAGCGAATCCATTGATTGTACGATAATATGGATCCAGTTGTAGCATGGCCAAAGATGTTAGCTGAATTATGGGGTCATATGTGGACACACAGACTATTACTACAAAATAAGTTCACAAGTGAAGAGTGAAGTTCCTCAAAAAAAACCGTTCCTCTTCATTTCAGAAAAATAGAACTTCTTTTTGCTCTCAGAATGCAGTGAAACTTATTCATTTATTCATTTACTTATCCAAGCACTCACCTGAGCCGTGCGATCCCATCCATCTGAGCAGTGAACAAGTACCGAACTTCGATTCGCTCAACTTCGCAACACGATTTGGTGCCCCGGCGCAGCCGTCCTATGATCGACTGTAATTATTGAATTGAGGCCATTTAGAATCATCCAATTGCTCCTTCAAATAATTCGTCTCAACTAACACGAGGGTTACAAGCAGCTTTTCATACTTCCGTAAAATCTGAAATACGAGGCGAAATCACAGGAAGTTTTTACTAAGAGTATCTGGATGTGCGATAGCCTATACGACGACATCGTGCTGGAAACCGCAAAGAAGGTCGCTTTGAGAATTTACTGATGATAAACCATAAGAAAAAGAATGAACTCGCACCGATTCTCGCACAACGTGTATATTATGAATGTTGAGAAACACCAACGAACATTCTTCATAAGACTCTTCGTATCCTCCGCCTTTAGCCTTATTCACCTGAGAATTTGCGCGAAGCTTAGGTTTTGGGCAGGAAGAAAAGATAAGGGGAACGGGGGACACTGTAAGCGTTGTCAAGCATACCAAATCCATGTAAAGACTGTATGGATTTGAGGACCGCGGCAAACCTTGTCAAACACCCTGTTAAGCCCTTGGTTACCACCTGTTTAAGCCACCTGTAAACTTCTGTCAAACTTGCTCACATCACACGCACGGCACGCACGCAAAACCTACGCATGCATGCAACAGTACGCCACGCACACCTAACAACCAGTGACTAAAGCGCTTACAGACATGTGGCAACCCTCAAAATTATCAAGTCGCCCGAAAGAAAGAAATTACCGATGCTCCGAACAAACCAGCTAATTAAATTCTACTCACCTTGGCATTTACAACTGGACGGGCGTCAAAAATGAGCAGGTGATGGGAATCTGCATTCGCCATGACAATCTGCTTCAGAAACCTATAAACACCTCTTTTGAAGGGATTTTTCGGCATACAATCGTATCAGCACGTACCACTCATCCTCGGTACACTTCCTATTAGTCATGCCTGACATTGGTTGCGCACAACGGGTGATTGACGCTTGTGTGGTTGGATGTAACCAACTTAACACCTAGAAATCACGAGTAAAGAAGCCGAGCTCTTCAATTCAGCACACAGCTTTTTCTCAATACACACCACAGCATAAATGGTATTTTTCAGGAGGTGCGTCGAAAAAATAAGGGCTAAAAGGTTGTGGAAGCTAACACTTCCAAAGAAGCGCGGTACGATTCCCTGAGAGGCTGACCAGGTGGGCAAATTCTAGAAGTGTAACACTCCCAAAAGAGTAGCAAAGAAGCCAAAAACCTGTCATAACCTAATGATAACTCCACCTCAGGCGCTGATCTACGCACAATACACATGTTACGGCTACTCCATACGACCAAACAATGCTGTGCGGGCAAGTTGCGTACGTGACTACAGTTAGGCGCATGGTTGACCGTATGGCGTATGGCGTGACTTTGGCGTGCGCATCGCATAGAAGATAGTGGACGGAGACTTAATGGACATCAAGCTATCGCCAGCCTGTAGCTTCAGTAGCAATCATTTTTCATCATCAATCAGTGATCAAAGGCAGAAATGCTATACTCCTATGGTTTCAAATCTGGCCACCTTGAGTAAGGAAAGGTCGAAATAAGCGTAGAAAGTTTTCTTTAATAAAACGGCTGCTAGATATCTACTTCAAATAAGAATAGACAAGTTATTTCTGTAAAAGCTACGAGGAGTAGGTGGCCAAAGGCTTGTAATAGCTTGGTAACAACTCTATCTCCACCCGCTGTCCATCCGCGGTACACATGTCACAGCCACGCCATACGGTCCAACTATAGGTGAGGCAAGCATACTGCGTGACTACAATTAGGCGCATGGCTGACCGTATGATGTATGTTGTGGCTTTGACGTGCGTTTACACAGTGAATAGTGGGCGGAAACTTAATGATCATCAGGCTATCACCAGCCTGTAGCTTCAATGCCACTCAATTTCGATGGCAGAAGTGCCACACTCCTGCCCATTTTGATCAGGGAAAAGACCCGCGCTCCAAATGGTCACAGAAGGTGCTTTAATAAAATATCTGCTTAACATCCTCTAAAAACACTCAACTAGACAAGTTCTTTCGGAAAACTCACCGGAATCCGTTGCCGGCTACGATATTCACCAACCCTTTCTAGAAACTCACGGCCTTTCGCCTCCACAGCCGCAGGTATGGCCAACTAAAACAACATCCATTGTAGATACTTCGTGAAAGTCATGACATGAGCTAAACTTCGCATACCTACCAATCTGGGATATGTGTCCGCGAAATCGTAGTACTGATTAACTGCAGTTAAGGTCCACTGATCATTCGGTACACCGAGCCTTTTCAGCTCTACTTTTGCATCATACAACGTCCATCCGTTCACGGGCTGCCGTGAGGTAGACGGTGACTCTCGTAGTGATGCCGCGTACACAAATGCGTAGAGTGGCTTAAAAGTTGGCATATTTAGCTTGGAAATATTTAGGAGACCCTTTACACATTTCATTTCCGCATCATCCACTTCAGTCTGGGCAAGCAATGGAGAAACCTGTGGCCAGAATCAACGTTCAGAGCATTGTTAGCATATCCTCCCCTTTTAAAGGCATAAGGTACGGATAATCTGGTACTCGGTCTCAAATGGTAGCAGGGGTGGCTATATAGTGGGAAAATGGCGAAAAAGCGAAGTGAAACGGTCGAAAACCTGCAAAAAAGCCTTTGTTCTACACGACTCAGAAAGCAATTTCTGGACGAGTTTCTCGCTGGCATCGTGCCAATAACCGCTACCAGAAAAGACGCTTTGCAGCGCCTGCTCAGGGGTGCTGGATTATCTTCCTACACGTCTTCGGGATTTGTCGTGCCACATGCCTCTACATAGCTAAGCGCCTCTCACTCGTTTGGGGTATGGTTCAGGCGCGGCATAGCAAGACATTTCCTAGGTAGTTGACCTCAAAGGCCTCCATGAGTAGATTGGGTCCAAATTCGAGTTTATGTTTACAGAATTTGACGCCTCTCACGGTTTTCGTTGTGCCTCGGATGCGCTGAACCACAACTACACCCACTCATTTGAATAGCTTTGTATACGCCTCAGCCTCAGTAGCGCACATGCCCTCTAAACTTTGGAAAGTGATGGGGTCACAACCGGAATGCAGTCTGCTAGGCGGAGCTCCAAAAACGTGTCGATCAGATAGGGTTCTCAACTGTGTGCACACTTCCTGAATGCCATGATAAAGATCCATCACTCAAGGTTACTGTAAGTTAGTGTGGATACGAAGAAGCTGCCAAAAAGCATGACCTGTTCAGTGAGCTCAAAGGAGGTGGTGGATGAGGAAAACCATGCAATAAAACTCAGTAAAGCATGAACTATGGTCACACAGAGCAATAAACTAAGAAGGTCTAATAGGTCTATAGATAATTCATATGATCTCAAATGTAGTCATAAAGGATGAAGTCTTCGCCACTGATCGATCCCTTTTGGGATGCGGCACGCATTCTACTTCCATTCAGAATCGTAGTGGCTTATTGAATGCGATGTGGCCTATACAATGACTTGCGGGGCCAGCCGATGTACAAGTCAGTGTTTTATCCTCCCAGACGAATCTGGTACCAATTTACCGTCCCCAAAGGGTAGAACGCTTGGTTAGCTTGAGCGTTAGCAAATTCGGCATTTGATCTCCGGAATCGAGCGCGTGGTATGCGTGCCACTCGCCACCTCCGTCTTCAAAATGCGGTCATGGACCTCTAAGAACAAAAACCAAGACTTACCAGTTTATTCGTAAGAGGGAATGCATAGCGAAGCAAAGCATCATATAACGGGCGCCTACTATGGCTAGCAGGGTGACAGATGAACCGTATCGTTCGCATATCCTGAAAATATCACCGCCTTCACTGAAAATTCGTATCGCATATGTAGTAATGCCTACAGAACAATCTATAAACAGTATCAGGCATTAGGTTAGAATGTAATGGAAGCGATATACAGCTTTGTTCGCGGCAGATGATGGAGCGTCAGTGAGGCTGTTTTTGGCACGGCGCGGCGCAGACTCTGTCTCCCACCAGTTGATGAATCGGGAACAGACAGCAGTTGGTGGGAGATCAATGTTCATTCGTGTTAGGCCCCTGTACGCCTTGTTAATTTATCGTGCCTTCAGATGTCTTTCAGAAAGCAGCATAAGTTGAGTCCGCAGCCCTCAGAGGGGATTCGTCAAAATTATATTCACTAATACTGCTGTTTTTAAGCAAATTAGATAGCTTGTCCACTAGATTGGAAATTCAGGCGCTAATCGTCCTGCAGGGGCATTTAAAGATACTCCTGGTCAGACTGGGATTGAATGCCATCCTAAAAAATTACCATAAACTGCAAATTAAATTCATATACTTTAGAACTTTTTCCCCGTACAAGCTCATCAAAACGCTTGCAATATTAAGATAAATTTGTCTAGTACAAGCTACCATCATCTCATAGTATTAAGTTGGCAATTGAGTTTTTGTGAAAATGGGATGAACAATGAGAGGACAGGCTGCGCGGCGGAGAGGTAGGGGATGGGGGGGGAGGGGGGGGGCACTGGCCACTATCTGCTACCCCATCGACGGTGTCACTACACTAGAAAGCTAATTCATGAGCTTACCAGAGTTGACCGACTTTACAGGTGGCTCGACGAGCTTGGTCCAGATTCACGAGAGTTCACAGGTTTCACCAGAGTGAGACTTGTGAACCGAATTCCCCCACTTTGTCGCCGAACTTTGCCCAAACAGAGGACAAAAAAGTCATCTTTTAAATATTGCCTCACCTTGCATGCAATCAGTAAGCCGTATGCATGTTCACCCCGACTTACAGTGGAATGTCCGACTTTCTCTACCCTGTAGATACAACCCAGAGGCACGTCAAATTGACAAATCTGTAAATTTTACTTTCATATCAAGTCTTTAATAAAAGGAGAACTGGAGTAGAGTAAACGCTCACGTCATCGCTGCCTTCAAATCTCATTCGGTACCTTGTTATGTATACTCGACCAAAAATTTTACCAATCGGAGACATGTAACCGATATTTTTATCTGAAAACACTTTCTCGGAAAATAAAACAAATCGCAGCAATCTACTTTCCAGGTCGATGACCAGAAGCCGTATTCCATCGTACCCACAGGAAAGCGTTAATAAGTGTGAAGAAGCGAAATGATTGCAGGCCAAAGTATTGATCGGTCCAATGAATTAGAGCCGCTACTACCTTTTGAAGCGATTGAGAACGGTTGTAAACCCTTACGCAAGTTACCTGTAGCTCCCTCTATTGACAAGGCTCCTAAGTCAAAACTAGTTATGCACGACTACATAAACCACCTCGTACGTCATCTTCGACTCCAATCCTGCGCCTTCCTTGATTTCCAAACCGATAAGCGTCAGCAGTAATCATGTTTTGCCTTCGTTAGGGGTCTAATCCAAGGCTGATGGATCGGTTTCTATATCTGAGCACAGATTTCCGCCGAAAAAGTTAATGAAGAAGGCATGCCACTGGAGCAGGAGTAGAGTCGAAGTGGTACTAAAGTGGATCACCCAGTAGTATCTAAAAGCTGTGTAGTACTACGGTTAACCATACAGACCACTGGTAAGCCAACGATGTTCAGATCTCCAAAACAACAGGCACATCAACTTCCCCTCAGGACAGGTTTGCAACCAGGATAAGGATACCATGACCACTTGCGCCATTAAGAAAAAGCCACATTTGTGATCATCGTTCAATAAACTCCGCGATTGCTTATTGTGGATAGTGGCGTTCAATTTGTCGCTACCTCTTCAGAGTAGAAAAAAAACATGGAGAACACCCAAAGGACACAAAAAAATTTTGGCAGCCTCACTATACGAGTTTTTCATAGCTGCCGTTTCATGTCAGCAAAGCGATTTCCTGCTGCTTCGGCTCCTTTATCCTTTCTTCCTGTTATCCAATGCTAATACCACTAAAAAAACCAGAAACGCAGCGTAAAACCTGGACTTCTAACAGAAAAAGCCATTGAGTTTTGGTGGGTGGGACATTTAGGCAGACAAATGCCACCTATGCGGGCCGCAGCGCCTTCGTCACTTTCTGGTAAAGCATGAAAAAGGGAATCCTAGAGACTTCGACCAGACTACCTGAACAAGGACCCCTGCGAACTGGTTGAGCTCGAAGACTCCAAGGTGAAGGAGCTTTGGAGTGAGCAGACTATTTCTTTAGAGTTAGTCGGTGCTAGTTTTTCCTAAAAAGAAGTTGTTTGCCTCTAGCGGTTCCAAATTTCTTGGGCGCTTGCTTGCTGCCGAAAAGGCATACAATGAGAGCGACACTTTCCCAGTCCTACAACTTCAATCCGATTCTCGGCATACAGCGTTTACTAGAAGAGGGAAGGGGGTGGGGCATTTTGCAATCTGCTACTTCCTATCAACGCGTCGACCCATCTGGATAGCTTCTGAGCTTAGAAGTGATGGCAGGTTTTACTATGATTGCTCACGACTTTGCTCCAGCTTTACAAGAGTTCACACATTTCATCAGAGTTAGACTTGTAAACCGGAACTAGTGAAGCAGCGAAAGTGCAAAATGCCCCTCCCGAATAGCGTCGTGGGAGGTTAACTTTACCCAAGCCTTTGAATATCTAGCCTCCGCGACTGAATACAGCTTCTGACCATCGTGCCTGAAACTCCTTCAAATCACTAACCAATGATTTCTACTCGTTCACCAGGTAATTGTCCAGCAAATTGTTTCTCTGGTGCTATTCGCAGCGCAGCTATATTGACCATTCCCTACAACATGGAATCAAGCTGGTACTGACAACTGGTAATTCAAAAATACGTCCTTCAAGAAGCCTTACCCATTCTTCACTCATCTCTAGGTAGATCCTACACCTAAGCTCGATACATACAGATACACGTCACCTTGAAAACAAAGTTACTTTACTTTCTTGTACCGACCAAACAAAACTAAGCAGTATTTCTGCATCTCACACAGCTCGACTCAATCAATAACATAATCAAGAAAGAATCTTCATGTGATGGCACTCTGAACACACGAGGTACTTGTCAAGTACTAAGACTGAACCCTATTTCACCTAGAAATTTTGGCAACAAACCAACTACTGTATGTACATTGTTAGCAATATACCTTTAAATTAAATTTCGAATAACCTGGGCAATATACGCCATGGCAACACTAGCCGTTAGTGTAAGTTCCCAGATAATTACAAAAACATCGTGGGAAGAGAATAGTAAGCCAAAGTAAAACAGAGCCGTTCAATATAGACCAAAGTAAAGTTGCAAAAATGAAACACCACGACAACTGAGTGCTAATAAAAAAGTGGAGATGATACTGAAAGCAATCGTGAGCTGGCCACACTTGGTGATAGATCTCCAGCGCTCTGAAAAATAATTTTTTTAGCATTTCTATATCATCGACGCCTCTAATATCACTACCATTCCAAGAGGTGATTAAGCACAAGACAGTGAGGCAACCAAAAAAAGGTCCGTGATACAAATTCATGCTTCTAAAACTACAAAGTTGTGTTTTTTTACTTAGAAAACTCTGAATTGGCTGCCCCAACTAAACAGCTGGGACAACCAACACAGACAAGTTTACTACAAGATGCACGATCTACTCTGCCAAAAACTACTTCTAGAAAAGGTGATTAAAATGGCTGGCAACACCACAAACAAGACCTACCATGGCGACATACATAACTGTAATACGTCGTCTTCATCCCACTGAATAATACAAATAAATTAAGAATATTATGTCTCTGATGCGAAAGGCACCTTCGCTGTTTTCCCTCTCTGAAATCTCAACTGCGGCAGGAAACATCCGGCGACGCCGCGTTTTTACTATGAGCAAGCTTAAGGATAAACCGTGCGTTCACCTCCGAAGGCTCCTCTCCAAAGTTACTCGGTCAACACTTGCAATAGCGCGCCACTTTCTCCCATTATAAGTGCACGGGAACGGGACTTGAGGGTAACGATGCCCAGGTGAAGTCTATATACTTCGTTCGTGCTATCCTCAATGTACAGCATTGCCGATACCAATCTCCACCAGCAAAGTACGCACCCAAACGGTAGAGAACAACTAGAAGTGAGAGGACGCAGACAATTAGGGCGCTTGGCTATGGTTAGGCAAGTGACTGGGTGTGCGACAGTGCGGACGGAGTGTGGAGACGGCACCCGGGTATCATTACCCCCCTGCAGCCCCGTTCCCGTCGCTTTTGACCATGGATAGTGACACGCCGTTGCAGCTGCGAACTCATTCACCTCACACATGGCAGGGACCAGAATCCGCAGAGGTGAATGTAGACAATGCTGTAACTAAGACGAGAAATCGCACCCGTTCCGACCAAGGAGAAGGATCGTGGGTACCATGGGAACACTAGATGAGGACGAATGGCCGTGTAATTGGGTTTGGCGTGCTTTGCCCGTACAAGTCAGAAAGAGGTGATCAAGGTGATGTCCAAACAAAACTGACCTCCTCGAAAAGAGGGCAACTTGATCAAGAATTTTTTCCTTGTAATGAGCGAAAAATCCTCGACATTTTTGAACTAATGGACTTACACCAAGCGTGTTATTGTTCTTGACGAAAAACCTCTAGTTGTCAACTGTTCCCGTTTCGCACATGATTATGCCTGAATCAAGCTGCAGCCGATCCTGCAGTGGTATAAAATCAAGCCTCGCGCGCTCCAGAAATGGCGGAAGCTTGATTTTACACCAATGCGGATTCCTTCCAGTCTACTAGTTCAGTGAATTTTGAGTAGAACCAGCCTAATGGGTATGAATCTCGCCTGTGGTACAGTAAGAAATGTCTTTAGGTGGTCGAACGCTTCCGAAAAAGTACAACTTCAGCTGTACTGTGGCTGACATAAAGCGCTCCAATTTCCATACGCGACGTAGCGCTGCAAGTACAATAAACTGACGTTCCCTCCACACCCCCCCCCCCCCCCCTCCCCGGCTTCAGGGAATTGGAGAGTTGTCCTATGGTCTTTCAGGAGGTGACAGTAATGGAGGATAGATTTCTCTGAACATCTTGCTAATCGTGTACACTAGCCTTGGCGGAGAATGCGCGAATAGTGGAGCTGATCGATTACCATTCAGATTGGTTGCGATTCTCCCGAAAAATTTCTTCTTCCCATTCGCTCAAATCACAAATTCCCCGTAGTCGCAAAGCATGAACGCGACCCAGTGGCTTGGTCCAGATAAGGCAAGGTAAGTAAGGGGCGGTGCTGCAAGAAGATTATAGAATTCAACGCTAATCCGTCTAGCATTGCGCTGGAACCCAAAGTGCCTAGGACCCTAGTAGCTCAACCCTGTAACATACGAAGCACACATGAATATTACGTGCGAAGCAACAGCAATAAACACCTAAGAATCTAAGAGCGGAGGGTAGTCCACAAGCCCTAATGCAATCGTTGCAACGCTGTGCTGCGAAAATCAGCCTACCGAGGCAAGCTATTAACTTCACTTCCATTATACTGTTCACATCTAAATTGAACAAAAATTACTCAAATTATTTCAACTATTTCAACCCACCGGATGTCCAGGTTTCTCCCGATACGTATTAACTGCTTGTATATCAAATTTGAATAGTTCCACTTCACATGAGTACGCTTTCGGTGTGAGTTTAATCACAGTGTGAAGTGGAACTTTGAGGTATGGCAAATCTTCCCGATTTTTGTTGGTAAAATACGCCAAGATACAACGAAGAACGGCCTAAAACGTTGGAACTATAGGATACTCTGAGGCAATCAAATAGTGGCACACTTACAACCCTTTTCAAAAAAGAGAAAACTTGTGGTCCATCGACTACCTGGTGAGAAATAACGAGAACATCAGATTGGCGTTCAAGCTCCATGATTACAGGTTCAAGTCGTGCCACCAGATCTTCATAGCTCTATAACAATGAAAACCGTAAAGCAAAATTCAGTAAGGAAATTGTCGACAACCAACTTGTAACTTTATTGCAATAAAAATATGCATGGCTGAAAGTTATAATATTCTAACTGAATTAGTGACAACCAAGGGAAACCAAGGGATATCGCAACTTGCCCGTTTCCGTCTAAAAGCGCGTAGGAACGGAAACTGGGCTACTTTTCTGAGGAAGAACCCCCCCCCCCTCCTCTCTAAAAATCAACAAAAAGTGATTGACAATTGGTCATTGTTACGATATAGGCCACCAAAGCTGTAATATGAAATAAACTACATTTTAAAGGGACTGATATGAAAACAAAGTTCTACCGAGTACAAAAAACCTACTTCACCACTTGGATATCTGTAATGATATTTATCTCGATCTCGTTCGGCGAACTGCATCGGGTATCGTTCTTCGAAGTCTTCATAAGTCAAGCCTTCACAGATGCCCTGAAAGCACATCCTAGAAACCTTTTTCTGCAAAGTTATTAAAATTTTGACTTCTCTGCGGAGGGTCAAGGGCGCGTATGGTGCGGTCCGTGACAAGCATGCCGCGATGGGGGTAGGCACGGCGATCGACGTCGCGCTGGCGGGCATGACGAGCGATGCCGCGCGGGAGGAGAGTTACCCTCCGTGGGTGGGGCACCTGGCCGTTTGAATTTGTGTTAAAAGGGATTAAGGATTGAATTAACCCCATGCAGAATCTTGCCTCCGCTTGAAATTCACATTTGTTTCGCTGCTACAATCAGACAGTTTTATGCACATCGAGAATCTGTCGCGTATCGCTGCATAGTGCGTTGCGCGCGTCGGCGCGCTGCTTACGATTGCCTTGTACGTCTCCCCCAAGTAATTCCTGCATGACTGCAGGTTTGCTGTCTGAGCCATCGAGCTTCTCATACATCATCTTGAAGCAATGCTTATGATGGTACGTTAGTCTTGCGCCGAACTTCTTACTTTTTTCAACCAACTACAGCTTTATAATCCATGCATGTAAATAGAGAAAGGTAGATAGCGTAATTGAAACCTGTAAAAAGTCAACCAACGAAAACATTTCCGAATGTTCGCTAACAGTATGAAACTCCAAATGTTTATTTCGAGTAACCCAAAGGACACCAAAAGTCACAAAAGTTTTTCGAAATTGATTATGTTGCAATATTTCGGTGCATAGCACCTTCCGTCAGGCTTTTAACCTGTTATTTCATTTAGATAATATACCAGATATACTGGTCTAATTTGGTCCTCCAATCAATGCAATTACCCTGCAGTGGACAGCACAATCACGCTTTCCGGGCGAGTGCGCTATCCGTCACACCACCAGGGCCGCTTTTACCCCGACTTTTGCCCATTACTCAGCATTCTTGTGATAACATTCGGAACGCTGCGGCGTTAAACAGCAGTTATCATAACATAACAACTTCGGAACATTTTTGTCTAAGGCAAATGCAACCCGTTTCCTCTAGTGACCTATAAGACTCCCTCGGGGCTGCGGACCCTTAATGTACTGTAATGTAAA